GTCTTTATCATCACGTGCCCCTCTCCCCGTGTGTGTGTGTGTGTGTGTGTGTGTGTGTGTCCTTTTTATAAGAACAACCACCAGTCATTGGGTTGGGACCCACCTTAATAACCTCATCTCAACTTGATCTTTTTGTAAAGACCCTGTTTTCCAAAGACCATCACAGTCACCGGTAATGAGAGTTGGGGCTACATCTTTTTGGAGGACACACAATTCAATCCATAACGCCACCTCCAGAAACGGTGGATTTTTAAAAAACCTTGTTGATTGATTTGAGAGAGCTAGAGAGAAACATCGATTTGTTGTTCCACTTATTCATTCATTGGTTGCTTTTTGTATGTGCCATGACTGGGAATCCAACCTACTATCATGGTGCATCTCTAGACGATGCTCCAACTAGCTGAGCTACCCGGCCAGGCAGACATGTTGACTGGATTAAAAGAGCTAATACATGAAGTAATCACTCAACAAATGTTCTTCCTTATCAGTGTTATTTCACTGCGGTGGCTGCCAGCGTGTCCTGTGGGCGAGGTGACTGCCACAGGACAGAGTGACTATATCGCGGGAACGTGGCCGGTGCTGGCTCCAGAATTTCACTGTCAGGATGAACTTAGGGGTGACAGGGAGTTAGCATGCTCACCTACAGTTCTGAAATCTCACATACGAATCCACAAAGACAGAAATGGTTCTGAAGACACTTCCCGTGTGGCTCTGAAATTCTCAAATGATCCACCCACATCAAATACACTTGCTGTTGTTATCAGTCCTTTGTAGTGGTTTGTAGGAGAGGTGACGGTCATCGCTGGCGGGGGGCGGGGTAAGTGCACCCTGGACACGGCCACCGTGGTGCCACGTCATTGCGGTCAGGCTGAATCATGAGGTGACGTTGGGATCCTCATAATGTACCCAGGCCCCCTCCATGGACCTGAACTTGGTGTGTGGCTGCGTGGGTAGGGACAGCAGCTTTCTGGCGGGGAGGCACTAGACCATTGTAAGTGGGTGGGAGTGGCTCAGACTTCTCCATCTGCAAGAGCAGGTTGAGTCTCAAATTGGTGCCTGCCTTCTGCTGTTAAGCTACTTCTTTACTCAGCACTTTGCAAAGCTCAAGTTCAAAGTCCTGAATGAAAGATCTGATAATGAATCCTCTCCGAGGAGGAGACAATGGTTTCTTTATGGTGCTTGTAAAAGGCCCCTATATATGTGTGCTTCCTTATATTTCTTCCAGGTGCCGGTTGCTTTCTGTGCCATTTATAAAAATGTTTTAAAAAGTTGGGGAAATTAGCGGAAACCGGTTTGGCTCAGTGGTTAGAGCGTCAGCCTGCAGACTGAAAGGTCCCGGGTTCAATTCCTGTCAAGGGCATATACCTTGGTTGCATGCACATCCCCAGTAGGGGGTGTGCAAGAGGCAGCTGATCGATGTTTCTCTCTCATCGATGTTTCTGTCTCTCTATCCCTCTCTTCCTCTCTGTAAAAAATCAATAAAATATATTTTTTTAAAAAGTTGGGGAAATTGAGGCCTGAGCAGGCACAAATAGCTGTGGATTGGCAAAGATCCCAAATAAAGACAACTATGGGGGAGTGTCTGGTGGTCTAAGCCATAATAAAAATAACTAGCACTTAGCAAGCATCTACTATTCCTGAGTACCAGACTTATGGATCGTGTTCTTTCATCTTCACAGCAATGCCACACAGTCATCCTATAATTATATGTGCGTTTTCCAGATGAAGGAAGGAAATGAAGGGTTAGTGGCTTGCCCAAGGTCACCTTGCCAAGAAGTGGCAGATGAGCAATTTGAACCAAAGCCTGATTCCACGATGCTGGTTTGGCTTGGATGCTGGGCTATGATGAGGTCTCCAAGGCTGGAGCAAAGCAGCTGAATTTCTCCAGCCCATTTATCCAGGAAAAGCCGGGGCCCAGAGGGCTGAGTGTGGAGGCTCCCATGTCCCTGTTAGGCCTTAAGATGTGGAGAGGAATATATATATAGAAATAAAAAAAAAAACAAAACAATTCCTGTGACACAGGACAATATGGGGAAGCCTTGCAGACACAATGCTGGACAAAAGACACCAGACACAAACAACACACATCCCATGTGGTTCCATTTAAGTGAAGTTCTAACGGGGACAAAGCCAGTCCCGTGGTGACAACATCAAGAGAATAGTTGTCTTTGAGGAAGCCTCCTGCGTGACAGGAACTGCTCACGTCTTGGCTTGGGAGGCTCTGACCCAGGTGGACATGCATGGGTAAGATCATCAACCTGCACGCTCCAGGTCTGAGCTTCTATTGCATCTAGTTTGTACCTTGATTAAATACAAAAAAAAGAAACCAGAGGAGATTCAATAAAGAATGGTGATTGGGAACAAAGGGATAAACTAAGCTTCCTTTTAATAGTAAAAGTGTGGTCCTGGCCAGGTAGCTCAGTTGGTTAGAGTGCCATCCCCATAGGCCAAGGTTGGAGGTTGATCCCAGGTCAGGGCACTGCAGGAGCACAGCTCCTCAGAAGCCAGGTATTAGACAAGACATGAGACGTCGTAGGCACATACAGAAGAGGCTTTATTGTAGACTGAATAGCCATTGCTTCTACAGGAGCCATCAGACAAAGCAGTTCTCCAAAGCAGCCCCACAAAACAGCCTAGCCCAGTTGGCTGGTCAATAGCAACTTATATACACGCTCAAACAGAAGAGGCCGTGTGCCAGTTGGTGATGCTCGTGCTACGGTAACATAATCAGGTTACATAAGGGTGTGCTTGAGCAGTATGTATACTGCTACTACTGAGTCATTGCCCTCGCACATGCGTAGGGCAAAGGGGCCTTTCACCTAATAATACTGCTGTGTCCTCACCTGCATGCATGGGTATGGCCTTGATCATCAGTGTACTCTCATTAGGGTTCCCATAGGCACATACAAGAATTGGCCAGTGAATGCATAAGTGAAACAACAAATCAATGTTTTTTTTTTCCTCTCTCTTTAAAATTGATTTTAAGTACTGATTCTTTTTTTAAAAAATATATTTTATTGATTTTGTACAGAGAAGAAGGGAGAGAGATAGAGTTAGAAACATCGATGAGAGAGAGTCATCGATCAGCCGCCTCTTGCACACCCCCTACTGGGGATATGCCCACAACCAAGGTACATGCCCTTAACCGGAATCGAACCCGGGGCCCTTCGGTCCCCAAGCCGACACTCTATCCAATGAGCCAAACCGGTTTCGGCCTTTAAAATTGATTTTAAAAACTTTTAAAATTCATTTATGCATTTCTTTTTTTTTTAAATATATTTTATTGATTTTGTACAGAGAGGAAGGGAGAGAGATAGAAACATCGATGAGAGACAGTCATCGATCAGCTGCCTCTTGCACACCCCCTACTGGGGATGTGCCTGCAACCAAAGTACCTGCCCTTGACCGGAATCGAACCGGGGACCCTTCAGTCCCCAAGCCGACGCTCTATCCATTGAGCCAAACCGGTTCCGGCATTAAAATTCATTTATGCATTTCTTTGTTTATCTTTTCAGTGCTCAACAGGCTTTTGTAGAGGGCTTGCTATGTGCCCAGCACCATGCTGCATCCTGGAAATACAGCAGTAAATAATCTGACAAAAACATCTTGTGTCGCTGTCCTCCTAGCCAAGATTGAGATTATTGTTACTTTAAAATAATAAGTATACAGTATGCTTGTTGAAGAAAAACAGGGACAGGGGTGAGGAGTAGGGTGGTTGGAGAAGACCCTGAGAAGGTAACATTTTAGCAAAGATCCTGGCGCTGTGCTCCAGCTCGTCTGCAAGTGCAAATCCCTGAGACAGGAGCCAGAGGGAAGCTGTGAGGGGTCAGGGTGGCTGGAGGGTGGTTGAGGAAAGAGCCATAGATTGAGATTTAGGAAGTGACAGAGGGTAAAAGAGAGTGTAAGGTGTTCAGACTTGTGCTTTACCAGAGTGAGGTGGAGTTTTGAGTGGAGGGCTCAGTGAATCTGGCTGAGTATTTGTAAAGGGAGAGCGCTGCTGGCTGCCGCCCTGGAGAGAGACTGTGGGAAGGCCAGGAAGCCTGGGGCCAGTTCTGGGCTCCCTCACTGCACTGCGTCTCTGCTCTCCCACCTGTGCTTCTCCAGGGGGAAGAGGGACCTTGACCTCTAGGCACTGAGAGACAGGAAGGGGCCTTGCTGTTTCCTGTGGAGGCCAACAGGACCGGCTAGAAGAGGGAGAGGAGAGGGAGAGGAGAGGAAGCCTCTCTGGACAGGGTGTGCAAAGGCCTTTGGAAAACGCAAAATACAGACATGGACTGCTTCCTTGTGATCCTCCTGGAGGCTTCCCAAGGAGGCAGAGATTGCTCAACAAGGCTCCTGGCTGGAGCTAGAGCAGCAGAGGTGAGATGGAGACTGACATCACCCAGGCAGGGCCCCCTCCCCCGCTTCGGGAACTGCTGACCTCACCTCTCCTCCTCCGGGTGGGAGAGGTGCAGAGCACCCTGTGGGGCGGGACAAAGGGATCCCTCCTATAGCAAGGCTCTTTCTCCCAGGGCCGGGAGGTGTTCTTTCACAGGGAAGTCTGGACTGAAGGGAGGAACTCTGCATTTGCAGGCCTGGTTCTCCCACCGCCTGCCTGCCCGCCCTGTGGCTTGTGGACATCAAGCTGTGACTGAGCAGAAATTCCATCTCTTGAACGTGACCCTTCCTCCTTTCTGTCCATCCACTCCCTTCCTTAATCATTAAACCCTAGGCCATCAGAGTCAGGTCAGCATCAAATCATCTTAAGTACAAAACCTCGGGTCTGTTGACCACAGAAACAGAGCTGTGGTCAAACTAACAATAACTTTATATATACATATATATATAATTGATTTTACACAGAGAGGAATTGAGAGGGACAGAGAGTTAGAAACGTTGATGAGAGAGAAACATCGACCAGCTGCCTCTTGCATCCCCCCTCCCCCCACTGGGGATGTGCCCACAACCAAGGTACATGCCCTTGACTGGAATTGAACCCAGGACCTTTCAGTCCCCAGGCTGACACTCTATCTACTGAGCCAAACCGGCTAGGGCTAACAATAACTTCTTGACTTCAGTCGTGTTTCGGCCCAAGGCCCATGAAAATGGAACAATCCTAATGACCACACCCTCATGAAACCAGGCGGAACATGGCCCTGGCTGACATGAGACCTGATCTACTGCTCCCTACTCTGGCCCAGTGTAGGCAGTTAGACGTGAGCAGAGCTAGGATGATGGGCCAGGTACAGAAGATCACCAGGGTGGAAAGCCCAAAGTGTCTAGCAATGGACAATCAATTGTAGGGGGAACCTCACCCTTGGGGTGACTCTCCCTCCCCTAGCATATCCCTGGTTGTGGGGTTTGGACCCCCTGACATGTCCTCCATAGAGATAACATCTAGGCCTCAGTTGAATTTCAGCTCCAGGCCCAAATACTCAACAAAATCAGACTCAGGACCAGCTGCATCGAATCAAGACCCCCTGCCCTGGTGCCGGCCAATCAATCAGTGGAGGCCACAACCCTGAAAGAACACACCTGGAAAACTGCTGAGTATTCTATTGAGATCTTCCCCCGGGGCCTCCCCTAAACTCTCCGCCCTTCGCCCTTCAAACCTTTAGGGGAGGACCAGATGTGCTCTCCCAGCAAGCCTTTCCCTTCACTCCTCCCTGCCCCAGGCACTTACCATTAGCTCCCTCACTCCCGAGCTCTTTTACCTCTATAACTTGTTTCCTAAGTCCATTTCTTTTAGGAATTATTTTTCTACCTCTACGATTTACCAAATAAATGTTCTTTTACAGTTTGAGTCTTGGCTCTGAATTCTTTTCTAGCCAGAACCCAAGTACCAAGGTTGCTGAACCCAGTTTTGGTCTGACCCCCCCTGGTCAGACACCTGGTGCTGGTTCACCGCCTCCAACAGCCCCAGCCAATCAGTAGAGCCCATGACCCCAACTCCTTTAACTATTTAGTGATCTTTTCCCCTATGTAACATATCTTCTGGAAGCCATCAGGGAACCAGGTCTTTTAGTCTGGCTTACCTGTGACTCCAGGCTTTGCACCACTTTCTCAATAAACTACTTTCTTTGCTACAAACTCCTGTTTGAGTATGATTGGGCTTTGATGCACCCAGGTGAACGGAGCGCCTTAGTCAGGTAACCAAGCTCCCATTCTGGGCTCTTCTCCCTCCTGCAAAATATAGGGCCTGGCCAGAGTCCCCAGTGACTTTTATATATGTTACTGATTTTTTTTACAGAGAGGGAGAGAGAGGGAAAGAGAGCTAGAAACATCAATGAGAGAGAATCATCAATCAGCTGCCTCCTACACACACCCCCTAGGGATGTACCCGCAACCAAGATACATGCCGTTGACCAGAATCGAACTCGGGACCCTCCAGTCCACAGGCCGACGTTCTATCCACTGAGCCAAACTGGTTTTGGCTCCAGTGACTTTTTATTTCATTTTACAACCATATCCAGAGAGCCCACTGGGATCAGGGCCTAAAGGAAATCGGTCCAGGTGTGTCCTAGAGCCAAGCCTAGGGTCAACCACTGGCATCTTTCCTGAAGGGTGAAGGGTAAAGGAGGGTGAGGCTATCTGCTGTGGGTGTGTCCAGGGTAGGCTGATGTTTTGCCTTGCCCTCATGGTCTATGGCAACTCCCCAAGGAAACAGGCCAACCCTTATATTTAAAGACACAGTAAAGCCCTGCCTTCCAGACCCCCAAAGTCACCCCTAAACCCTTGCAGACACACTGACAGGCTCCTGGTGGTCTACGATGTAAAAGCCTGTTTCTGTCATCTGGTCTTCATGACACACACACACACACCCTAGTTGAGGCACTGCCTCATCTTTCCCCTTCCCCACCTGCACTCAGCTCTTCAGAACTCTCCTTGGCCTCCTCAATCAGGTCTCAATTCCAGTCAAGGAGACATCCCTTTCCACCCGCAGCCCTTGCTTTGGCTCTGCCTGGAAAGCCCTCAATTCCACCAGTGAGACGTTTGCAAAGTCCTTTATATTGACCTGTTTTACAAAACATTATTGAATTCCCATAAAAGTTTCATGGGGCAAGTGTCATCCCCTCCTTTAGAGCTGAGAAGTTGAGTGATTTGCCTAAAGTCAAAACAGCTAGTGTGTGTGTGGCTGGAAGCCATGCCCAGAGCTCCTTCCACTCCCCCACCCCCCAGAGACTCCACATACAAGCTTCTCCCAGCTCCTGTCTGCAGGTGGGTCTCTTTGCTCCAATAGACCTGAGTTGTCTGAGGCGAGGCTGGAGCTCTTTCCCCGGTGCCCCCGGGAGCATTTCCCATTGCCCTTCTCAGGGCTGAGAACAGGCTCTTCCCCGGGCAGCCACCCCGGGCTGGACTGGCTTTCCCGGGTGGCCCCAGCCTTTTCTCCACGAGGCAGGTAAGGCTAACTGCTGCCCAGGCATGCAGCGCCCATGACTCATCCACAGCAGGGCACCACCCCAGCCGCCCCCTGAGAGCTGGGGAAACCAGCTGGGTGGGTCCAGCTGGCAAAGCAGTTGGCCTGCCCACTTTCCCTACCAGCTCAGACCTCAGCCATGTGGCCCTTGTTAGTCCAACTGGGGCGATGATATACTTAACATTTCAATCCATCAAAATCCACCTAATCTATCATGTTCCCCAAGATCATGAGAAAGATTTCCTAGTGCCTCAAATTCTGGGCAGCGCCTTCCTCTTGGATATTAATACTGGCAGCTAACATTAGTCAACAGCTCCCTGTGTGCTTGGCACTCTTCTGAACATAGCAGCTTTTGCCTTCCCCTTGATCCCAAGTAAGAGGATAACACAGAGCAAAAATGTGTATCTAATTGTTCAGATGCACCAACTGAGTCTCAGGTGGAGAGGCAGCTAACCAGGGTTTCTGTCGGGAACAGAGTGAAGTCTAGCAAACCTCATTTTCTGTCTCCACTAGTATTTCCAAGGCCTCAAGCAAGCTGCCTTCCAGAAGCTCAGAGGATTCTGCTTTTGTTTCAGATCAAAGGTTAATGCAAGAGGAAGTGACTGATGTACATATACAGCTTTGATGTTATGACTTCATCTTTACTAGAAATGGGAGCCAGCCAAGGAGAGTGAGTCCTGGTGAAACCCGAGATAATGAATGTGGTCAGAAAGAGGCAAGAATCCAAGTAGGTTTAGAGACAAAAGCCAAGTTAATGCCCTGAACGAAAATGCTAACGGAGGTGAACTGGAGCCAACGCCACAATTCTCTAGAGTGGTTTAGTGCAGTGGTCGGCAAACTCATTAGTCAACAGAGCCAAATATCAACAATACAATGATGGAGATTTCTTTTGAGAGCCAAATTTTTTAAACTTAAACTTCTTCTTACGCCACTTCTTCAAAATAGACTTGCCCAGGCCGTGGTATTTTGTGGAAGAGCCACACTCAAGGGGCCAAAGAGCCGCATGTGGCTCACAAGCTGCAGTTTGCTGACCATGGGACTAGTAAATGGGATAGAGCCAGCTAGTTCCCTATGCTGTGTCAGAGCTGATTGTGACTCAAAAGCTGACACCGAAAGTTTTCAGGAGGAGAATGTTCTCAGAGGCCACGTCTTGGTGGATGCTGTTTTTGAGAGCCACGCCATCATCTCAGACAGCTGCTTTGATTTGCTAATTACACAGGGTGAGTCTTTATCCCACGGAGAGAGTCAACTAGGAGAGAGGGGGTTCGAGTGGGAGACAGAAAACAATCCTGCTTTTCAGCTCTAGGGAGTTTCTGGCACCAGATCCAGAGATTTAAACCTGGAAAGAGAAAGATAGAAACGGAAGAAGAATCCCAGGGACTCCAGGAGGGTTTAAGGCCCTGAGGGCTGAAGGCAGCCGGGCCCTAGAAGCTTCTACTCTCTGGGGCCTCAGCCAGTAGGCGTATTGTAAAGCTGCTCCACCTGGTTCTATTGTAGAAGCTCCTTCAGGGAAGCAGCCTTAGAGAAAAGAGGTCATGGCACAGCACTGAAGAGAGCTCTAATGGAGTTGCTCACTGATTTTCGATCAAAGCACTCTGACTTTTGGCGTCTATAGCATACACAGGAGATACTGCGGCTTTGGTTCCAGACCACCGCAGCATCGGGAGGATAGTTAGCTTAGTTTGGAGGAAGAGAATGGAAGTTGTCAGATTAGGCCTGCAACACACTGACGACCCTTGGAAAACTTTCAACACGACATACACATACACATGCCCAGGATCAGGCATTGACAAGATTCCTTTTACAGCGGGAAGATTACAATTCTGTATTCAGGAAGCTGAATCTGGAGAGTATGTTGGAGCCATTTAAAAGTTTTGAATCTAAAATCAGCATGTAAGAATTTATTTTATTTTACTTTTTGCATAGGTCCAAGATAGATGTGGCCTGGCAACAGACCTTGAAAAGAAATAATGAAGGACTTTAATTGACCGCAAACCCAATGACTCAACAGCTCACTGGTGTGTGTGGAAAGAAGGCTAATGCTATTCTAGTCTGCATTACTATGCAACAGCAGCTTTCCGGGTCACCTTTTTGTGCTGGGCTCTATGAACACAAGGGAAAAAAGAAGCTATGGCTTCTGCCTTAAAAGACTCCCCTTCCAGCAGGGGAGACAGGCTTTCCTTCCGAATTCTTTTGCCGAAATAGAACTGTAACTGCCACCTCCCCCCAACGGCAAGCAGCTGTTGGTCATTTATGGGAAAGTGGCGAGGCTAAGCCCTCAGCAAACAGGCAGGTTATTTCTTGCTGTGTTTACACATTTCCTAGCAACAAGAATGCAAGGCTTGCTTTCCTATGTGACAAGTCCCAAGGAGAGGCGTGCCAGAGAGCCATCAGGCTCTGCCTTCCTGGATCTGGCCTGCGTGCCCGCCAGTTCCAACAGCAGGCCCCCGACACACCCAACTTTCTCTATAACGGCATTTGCAAACAGTCCGTGACCAAGAAGGTTAGAACTTCCTAAATGTCCTTTTCCCTATATTGATGAGGGTTGGGGGCAGATACATTTTAGGTCTGGCCAATGGTTGTTGGGGGAAAAAAAAAAAAAAAAAAAGATACACATCACTCCTGCCAAGGCAGTTGATTGCTGGTGTGCCTCCAGATCGAAGGAGAAATGCATTTTCCATAAAGTCACTATTCTAAAATTTGTCCACGCCCGCAATTAGCACGAAGTACCTTGACTAATACAGCTTCTCCCTCCACCTCTGGCTGACTTTCTGCTGGCCCTCTTTTGTAACTGCTCCCCATCCTCCCTCAGTAATGCATCCTTCTTTATCCTCGTATGCCCCAGAGCTCTGTGTTCAACCTTCTTCACATCCGAGCAAAACTGAGCCTGGAAACACTCCCTCCTAGTTCCTTCCAACTGTCGCCCTTGTACTGACAATTCTCCATTCTACTACAGTTCTCTCACGCGGGGCACTTCTGACCCCAGGCCTCAATTATTAAAAAGTGTGAGGCTTCCCAGGATTTAGAGGAGTTGATAGAAAATGAAGTCCTTAGGTTATGTAAGCCAGACTTTTCTCCTAAACTAATTTTTTTTTTTTTAAGTTTGCAACTTACAGGGATTCTAACAATCACTTAAAAAGTAATTCTAACTCAAGTTCTAAGTTACAAACCAGGACAAGGAACTTTGTAATCGAGCCAGTGGAGTGCTGGGGGTGGGAGTGGGCGGGCAGCCCTGGTTATATAGGGTTTCCCATTCCCCACCACAGCTACTTTGAGTTAACATGTCACCAGGTGTGGAACGGAGCAGGGATGTTTCAGCCTTTCACTGTCTGGGGCAAACATTTTGACGTATATGGTTTTTTTCTGACCACTCAACCAGCAGCATGGTGACAATCTAGTGATTATTCTCTTTTTATAGATGAGGAAACTGAAATAGATCTTTACACTTAGGTCTCTTGCCAGTTCATTTTGGCCCGTGTTTCTCATCTCAGTGCTGATTCTGCAGGTCTGGAGCAGGGCATGAGAATTTGCATTTCTAACAAGTCCCCAGCTGCTGCTGGTCCGGGAACTAAGGATAACTGCCCTGGGCTTGGAGTAGTTTAGTGACAAAAGGGCATCAGCTGGGTTCAGTCCTAGCCCTGCCACTAATCAGCTGTGACCTTGAAGAGGATATTTTATAGGGAGATCAGAGAGAGCTTCAAAATGCAATGACCTTTGTTTACTTTCCATGCATTGCTATTTTCTTGCTTATCCATCTTAGCTTGTTATCACTCTGTATATCTGGAGACAAAAGGCATAGGATTGGCTATATTTAGACTTTGAAAGCTGCAAAATCTTATCAAGGCTCCTGACAATGCACACTTGAGTAAAATTAATGTCTGGAATTTCCCTTCCTCATGCCGTTATAAATATAGCACATTTCCTGCTAAAGATAGAAATCAAAGGTGGACAAGTGGCATTTAAAACATTAGAATATATTTAGACCAGAGGAGATTATCAGCCTTAGCATCCAACAGACTTGCTTCAATGTGATTGAGCCCAAGGAGTCCTCACCACAAATTTGAGGCTGTTCTCACTCTATCTACCTCCTCTGTCCCCATTTACCTCATGACCATTCAGATCTACTTGTAAACCAATAACATTGTCTTTGGATAGACGTGGCTGGCTGAGACTTTTCCTCTTACTCTAAACTTGACTCAGGACAATCTCGTCATCTGACAAATGTGAACCTCTAGCACTCACCACCTGTATCACTCATCTTGGCTCTATTACACTATTCACGTGGGTGTGTTTTGCTATACCATTCTTCCAAGATTAGTTTCTTCAGGGTGAGTCTACTTGGCCTCATAAAATCATACTCATCCTTCAAGATGCAATTCTGAGATTATCTTCTCTGGTCTCTATCTGCTCCACAAGTATTGCATTTATCTTGGTAAACATCCCATATTGCATATACCTCTGGGAGTCGCAGTTTCTGGCACCTGAGACTCAGTAAATGCTCCTTAATCAGTCATCTATTTGTGAGTAAAATTAATCCTTATCACTGTTTGTGCAGAACTTGCACTTTTGTATAATAGGCTAAAAAAATCCATGCTGTCACAAAATTCAAGATAAAGCAGCAGTTCTTCACTAGTTGACAGGGACAGTGGGGTAAAGAATGTTAAAAATTGTTGAAAGTATTTTCAGACTTTTTTTTTTTTTGGACACACACACACAATCCAGAGACTAATTTACAATATGTTTTTGTCTACATCTATACTACCACTCTTTTTTTTAAATATATTTTATTGATTTTCCACAGAGAGGAAGGGAGAGGGATAGAGAGCTAGAAACGTCGATGAGAGAGAAACATCGACCAGCTGCCTCTTGCACACCCCCTACTGGGGATGTGCCCACAACCCAGGTACATGCCCTTGGCAGGAATCGAACCTGGGACCTTTCAGTCCGCAGGCCGACGCTCTACCACTGAGCCAAACCGGTTTCGGCTATACTACCACTTTTAACAGAGCTGTGTGCTAGCACAGTGCAAACCAGTCTTGCAATTAAAAAATATTTACTTAGCAACTGCTGAAAGCAGTTTCTAAAAATATTCATCCCCCTTTCTTTCAATCCTAAATGTCTAATGTAGCACTTTATCACCACTATGACTTGTGCCACTGTCCATTGGCAGAGAACCAATGGACGGCTGCCTGACATCCCAGGAATTGTTTCCAATGCTTATTCAAACTATTTCATTTCTTTGAATCAGTAACATTACTGACTTAATATGGCAATGTTAAGAAAGCCTACATTTTTTTTGCCCAGATATTCTTCTCCATAAATGACATTATCAGGACAGTAAAGTACTTCAGTACTTGGGGGGAGAGAAGCCCCTTTCAGTAAATACCAGTATATCAGAATAGCCTATATAATCCTAGTTACATGGAAATGCTCCAAACATGGGAATAAAATATTCACAATTGCAAGCAAAACTTAATCAAACTTACCTAGCAGAATACAAATTTTATTAATGCATCCTATTCTTGAATATCATAATGTATCTTAAATTTACCTCATATTAAAAATTTTTCATTACCTGATTTAAAAACAAACCTACTTTCAATTTTTATTGACTGTAGTAGCAAACTGGCTTTTTTTTTTTTTTTTTTTTTTTTTTTTTTGCTATCAATACACAGCTGAGATACTTTGTGATAAATAAGTAAAGGTTGGCTGACAAATGCAATATAACAATTGCTCTAGCCGAAGCTGGTTTGGCTCAGTGGTAGAGCGTCAGTCTGCGGACTTAAGGGTCCCAGGTTCGATTCCAGTCAAGGGCATGTACATCGGTTGCGTGCACATTCCCGGTAGGGTGTGTGCAAGAGGCAGCTGGTCGATGTTTCTCTCTCATCGATGTTTCTAGCTCTGTCTCTCTCCTTTCCTCTCTGTAAAAAATCAATAAAATATATATATTAAAAAAACAACAACAAAAAAAAACCCCCAAAAAAACCTTATAACAATTGCTCTGGCTTAATGGTGTCACTAAAAATTTTTTTAAAAATGTGAACAGTACTATTTGGTCCTGGTGAAGGCCCTGGTTGTTGGAACCTTAACACACCTGTACATCTTTTTGGGCTTTACTTTCACCAACTTATCTCCAAAAGGCCCAAGAAAACAAGATCTAGCATTTAGTCCTAAATGTGGACTCTCACAATCATTATGAGAGGACTTATTTATAAAAACCTTCCCATCACATCATCTTATTTGATATTCATTTAAGATACACAGACATTATCTTTTAAAAGGGCAGTTCTCATTTAAGAAACTAGAGAACTTAAGCACCCCCTCCAATCCTGTGCTTCAGTATACTCGAATGTAAAGTGGGTCCAGACTTACCTCATGGAAGTTGAGGATTAGGTAAATCAATACATGTAAAAAATTCAGAAAAATACCTAGCAGATAGCATTGAGTGATATATATCATTCTGCATTTTAAATGGTGATAAAAAATAAAAAGGGGACATCATGGTTTTAACTGTATGAAAACTTAAGGAAATCAAGGTCCAGGCCTGGCTATGAAAAATTTACCAACCCATCTCAGCTTAAGTAGTCCCACATGTTTCGTGGTTATCAAACGGGAATAACAGTTAACTATTTCTTGCAAGATATTCTAGAAAATCATAGCAATCTTTAAAATGGGGATGGTCATACTTCCCCACTGAGAATGAGAATAAAAATGTTAATGTCTTAAGTGTTCAGGCCAAGTATTTTTAAGCAAGTAGGCACCTCAATGGTCCTGGCTGGGTAGGTCAGTTGGTTACGTGTGTCATCCTGATGTGCCAGTTTCAGGTTCACAGGTCAGGGCACACACAAGAATCAACCAATGAATGCATGAATAAGTGGGACAAATTGATGTTTCTCCTTTCCGCCCTAAAAAATCAATAAAATAAAAAATTGTTTAACTCCCTCAACAAGTAATGTGATTGTGTATAGATATTTTTAAGACAATGTATACGTTCTGCTCATCTAAGTTGTACTTGCTTTTAGGTAAATGATTGTCTGATGCATTATTACATTTATTAGCTGACATTCTAAGAGCTTTCCCTTCTCCCGTTTTTTATATCAACACTAGAGACCTGGTGCACAAATTTGTGCATGGGTGGGGTCCAGTTGGCCGGCCCAGATGGGGGCCAGTGGGGGAGAGGGCCCAGGGTAGTTGGCCAGGCAGCCCTGCCCCGATTGGGGTGTTGGGGGCGGGCCAGGATCAAGTTGGTTGGCTGCTGCAGTGCACGTCATAACCACCAGTCGTTCTGGTTTTCCACCATTCTGGTTGCTGGACTTTTATGTATACAAATGAGAATTTTGAATTCTCATTCACTGAGTTCCGTTACTACCATTATTTGAATAATGTATTTGACGTAGATTTGGTAATAAGAACCCTCCAAGTGGTTCCCATGCCCTTTGGACATGCACCATCCTTTTTTGAGATTTCCTTTCTTCCGGGGAACAAAAGAATGTTACAGGTTCATTTTGTACTTTCTCTGACCTGGGATTAAAGTTAGACATTTCTCCAAGCATGGTTCCTTTCTGTATGTAGAAATTGAGATCTGGATATTAGGTGTACACATTGCTGCTGTAGTTACTACAGGTTTTAGGTCCTCAGTGAACACAGCTGCGAAATAAAACATTACAAACACAATCCCGAAGTCATTAAAGACAAATTAAGGTCACTACACAGACCCACTCAACAACTGAACATAATACATGATCCTTGCTTTGGATCCTTCAGAGTTTGATACTAAAAAGATTGGATGTCAAACCTATGTCAATATTAAAGTGTCCTGATTTTAGTAATTGAACTAACCACACTAAAAGTATTAGGTGTTTAAAGGGAAAAGATCTGTAACCTATTTTCAAATGGTTAAAAATTACAGAACAAATGAGATAAAATGTTAAACAGCCTAAGGGAGAATCACTGTCCTATTCTTGCATTTTAATATCAAAATTAAGTTACAAAAAGCTTAAAAGCAATTTGTAAACTAAAGGATTATGAACCACTGAGATGGCCTAGTATGAAGCTTATTTGTTTTGTGAAAGTTTGATAATTTATTTAGTAGATTAATGGGGCAATTTATTCTTCAGAGACAAAAGCTTTTATATTAACTGAGGATAAAGTTAAAACAATTTATATTAATATTTAAAATGGTATCAAAAGAAACTTTTACATTTTACTGTGGGCAGTTTTTGAGAGTAACTGGTAGTTCCATATAGCTGCTCAATTTCAGCCTAATAGGGAATGGTTCTTTAAAACTTCCCCCAGATAACTGAAGTTGGAGAACTGATATTTGGAACTGAAACAGACACAAACCCCTTTTAAACCCTACTATGATTCTTGTCACCTTCAGCAAAGGTGATGATTCAGTCTTTTTCACGATTTTGATAGAATAAGGCATAAGCTGCAGATTCCACCGTCTTTTCACTACCAATGGATGAGCCAATCCTCTTCGTTTTTGTCTGAATTTCCTTCCAAAGGGCACTTCCAATTTTGTCCATCTCTTTAATGGCCCTGCAGTTATTTTATTATCTTCCTGACATTCTCAGTCCCATCCTTAGTTCAGATTTTTCATCTGCTGCTCTCACCTCTGTCTAGATTTCTAACCTACTCTTTCCAAAAGCCTTACTGTGGTATAAAATTGCTCTCTTTTCTACACCGTGAACTGTTAGGATGGGATTATTTTGATCACTTCTGAGTTCCCTATAGCTGGAACAGCTCCAGACAGCCCAAAGCAGTTCAGTTCATTTCTTCAAACTCTTCTGTATATATTTACCTATGAAAAAGTACATGCTGGGGAGTGATAAATGACTAAGTAAAACAGAAAATCCTAAATTTAAATAACTATAACATACACTCTGGGTGGCCACCTCACTATGAAGAATGTGGACCTACTGGTCTAATAAGACTTTCTCCACATCCATTTTATTCTTCCATTCATTCAGGAATCACCCAACGTGTCAGATGCTCTGACTCAGATCTTGGGGTAGTACGGACACCAATTAACTCATCATGCTCCCAATACTTAAAGCAACCAATATTACAAACGTTTCTTCATTATTTTGATTGTACATTAGAGATAGCAGGAGTACCTCAAAAAACCTCTTCAAGTGATCTGTTTAGACAAAAGTAAAAGATAGACTAAACCCATTCACCTCACCGGGCTGGAAAGGAGCAGAGACCAAACCAAAAAAACTAAGTGGGAATTCTCAGGTCTCTTAAACTTGCTGAGTCTGTAGTATCACAGAATTCCAGTCACTGTGGGTACACAGTGTCAATCAAAATAAAAGGCATTTGATCAACAACTTGAAATGTGTCTTACTCTAATAGCTCTGATACTGCTAATTTTCATTACATTTTTGCATATACAGTAACCTCATTTCAGAAAACAATCATTTTACTTCAATTACATACTGGTTAATGATTAAATACAGAATGCATAGCCTGATTAAACTTATACTTGATGCACCATCTCTAGCCTTTCCAGATAAAAAGTAGACTAAAAAGTTAGTCATTATTAACATATTCTTGTCACTAAGGAGGAAGTAGAAAAATTTGTTTTGGAAGTTAATCCCCAAAATGTTGTGAGCAATAGAAATGTGATTGAAGAAAAGTAGTCCCATGAGTCTATTTTAAAAGGGAGAGCACATCTGAGATGCACCACAGACTGCTATACTGAAGTGTCTAGGCCGCCCCTTCTTGAAATCCTCAGGGTTCACTCTAGACAAGTTGTTAAGAACTTATTGATAGCTGGTTCAGCATACATCAGGGAAAACTAGCTCATTGGCTTGGGTTCTAGAATCCTTGTTTGTTCTCTTTTATTATAATGAAATTAAGTTTGTAATTGTTACAGTGTACTCTGCTTAAAACACTATACAGTACTGCAAGGACTGGTAGAGATTAAAATATCTCTTAATATTTGTTGATAAAATATAATAAAAGCAACCCCCCAAGATTCTACTTGTAGGCCTTAGGAGCATGAGCACAACCATACGGGGAGGAGATAACCAGTCTCTCCCTTCATATATATTTTTTTATTTTCTTGTTATACCTTCCCAAAACAGAGACATTCAACAGTAGTTAGAATGGCCATCTCCCAACATTAAAAAAAAACACCTGTACCCCCAAACCCCAATGGGTGAACAAAGTAAATAGTAACCTAGAGTTCAGCTGAGTGAGCCATTGTGGAGCCTTAAGTGGTGAGGTCTTCCAATTTCAGAGTGATGTGTCTTCAACTTGTATCATCATTTTAGTGGAAAAACACAATTTAATTTTGGTGAAATGAGATTCATCTCCCAACAGGATTAGTAAACAGCATTCACTGAATTTCACATTCTTCTTTTGTGAACTGTGAAGAAAATGAATGGTAGCTAGAAGATCAATGGGATTCCAGCTCCAGCTGTAGATGGAATGACGATATACCAGGACAAAAACACCTACATTTTGATTTACAAAGCTAACAGCAGTTATAAATCTGCAACTTAATTACAGACCAACTACACCACAACCTTTTCAAATGGCAAAAATACAAAAAAGTGTTACAAAAATATTTCAGAAAAAGTGCATAGTCTAAGTGCATAGTAAATAAAAGCACTGAAAAATATCTTGCTAGAGGGAGTTCAGCTTGGAAAAGTTATTACCAAAGCTAAACATTTTTATTTTACACAAGCTATACTCAAAAATAGCTTTATGAGACTGATTTCTGGCTAAAAGTTTCAAAGGGTTTATTAGTCAAGAAACAAACACATTAACTGACGTGGGTGGATAGAAAAGAAGCGAAGCTGCCTACCCCACAAGCTCATACTCATGATTTCTGCAGTGTGATGGTGCTAATATATCCTTTAATAGCAGAATGTAGTCATTATGGAATTATTGCTAAAGAAGTTTTCAAATAAAAAAGAAATATTAAGCTTGACAAAATCTGACCAAACTAGTGTCAATTTACAATTTCAAGATTATTTTACAAAACACATTTTTTACACAATAGGCTCCTGGCAGCATTTTCAGACGAAAGTACTTTTAAATGTATTCTGACATGCTCTAAATGAATAAATTACAGTTAAAAAAAACAAACAACAAAAAAACCCCCCGTCAATAAATCTTCCTTTCTCTTGGGTCAGAAAAAGAAGTGTGGCATATAAGACTGAGGAAAGTGCAGAAAAACTACAGAAAATGAGTAGGTTAGGGAGGGTCAGTGATCACATTAATCTCACATGTGATGTTCTCCAAGGTTAAGAATCTGCTCAGAGCCAATTAACAAAAAATTTAAAGAAAAACTTTATTCTGCAGTTAAACCCTTTAATGCTTTTATTTATTCAGAATCAGTCCCGCTGTTCTTCTGAGGCGCTGGAGTTACAATAACCAAGTCCTAGCAGTGATAGCACTAGGTATTTGTGCCTGCAAGTCATTAAAAAAAAAAAAAAAAGGTTTAATTTGAGTAACAGTTTTATCACTAAACCTAAAATGATTTGCAAAGGGATTTTATGTAACAAGTGGCTTGAAGCAGTCTATTAAAAAATTGGGGAGATTTTGATTTCATAGTGACTCAGCAAGGCATTTTTGTTGTTTAAAAAAAACAACCCTCATTTCCTTACAGAAAGTTTTTAGTTTTTAATGAACTTGTAAACAAAAAAGCTCCCATTTCAAAATAAAAACAAAATCCCAGATCATATAGATGTTTACAGTGATTACATTTATCTAAGCAACATACATACATATTCAGTTTTAAGATGTTAACTAAATTTGTGACAAATATGCTTTTTTTTTTTTTAATACCAAGAACATTATAGAGTTAATGCAGAGTCCTAAGGATAATCTAGTAGTCACTAAGTTTTTTTCTTAAGTCTTCACTTTAGATGCTGTTATTTCTAGCACAGGTAAGCAGGCAGTCTTTCATATGCTCAAACACTGGAATCTTTGGTTGCTACCATATCAGCTGGCTTGCAAACAAGAAGCCAACCATTTTAAGAATGTTTTAAGTGAACAACTTGCAAACCCCAGGGGTGGATAAACCCTAAGAATGCACAATTGTGAGCATTTACAACCATCACAACTGTGGCTGAAGACTGTTCATGCCGTTCTTCTGAAATGAGATCTCAAAGCAGTATAGTTCAAAGAAAAAGATTTTAACAAAAAATTG